TCGAGTAGCTAATAATATTCAGATTGATTATATCTTTGTTATATTTTTTTATTTGCTTCTTTGTTTGGGCATATAGTATATAATATTAGAGATGAATTATATTATATTGATGTAAAAAATTGATTGAACTTAATTTGTGACACTAATTTATAATCATCTATTGAAATAATCCACTGATTTGCAAGTTTTTGAGGTGATTAAAAAAAAAAAAAAAAACGTAATTTCATCTTCTATCTGAAGTTTACAGGATTGCAATTAATGTATGATCAATAAATGAAAATTTTAACTATCTATATAACCTTTGAAAAAGTTAAAGCTAAATTACACTTTCTAACATGTTTGATAATCTTCAAGAGCATCGGTGTTGCATACTTCTGACATTAATCTCTTTAACATGTTGAGTGCTGACCATATTGCATCACTTTGTTTTGAGGTTTTTTACTCTGTCCGTTTATATAAAGAGGAATACTACACATATAATTTTTTTATAAGCTAATTTAGACCAAGCGAAGGAAAGCAATATTTTAAAACCTGGCCCAGTCTAGCCCGATTGGTTGAAACTGTTCAACCGGGACCTGAGGGTTTCATCGGGTCAAATTACCAATTTTTTTATTCACTTGACGATGATCGACGAACAATTGAAAGTCGGGATGTTAGGGGTTTTGAAAAGGAAATATCGGTGAGTGCAATGGTGGTTACGGAGGTGATTTTCAATTAGTGAATCGACCGAAAATCACAAAACTAAATCACTGGCTAAGGAGAGTGTTTTTGTGGTGATGGGAAGTGTTGTCGTTGCCGGAAATAAACCCTATTTGCCCTGGTTTGTCGACGTCGGTGGTGGTGTTTAGGATGTTTTTATAACATTTTAAACTATTGGACATCGATTTTATCCGTCGGTCAAACTAGTTAAATCAGTCAACCCAAGAGCTGGCCACTTTGCCCAATTTCACCCTGGGTTGGTTATTAAATCACCGAAGAAAAGTACGAACAATTCATAAATATTTTATTAATGGGAACTCTCTCATAACTAGTACATGGCTATCAAACCAAACATAACTTTAACTAATTAAAAATGACTCCACTCTAATCAGTTTACTACAATGCAGTTATTATTACCTGCAGTCACCATTTATTTAATTTTAACCTTCAAATTAAATTAATTATAATCTTGATTATCCTTGACCATCGTCACAATCTTGAGTATTTATTGATCATGGTAAGTTAAAGTTTAAAAATGGCCTCTTGCTCCCTTTTGAATATGACCAAGGAGAAGGGGCAGGTGCCATGCTTGGAGGTAATGCTTAAGGCAGCACTGTTATAACCAGTTTTTGCCCTCGATCACAGTGGTTGCCCACGCCACAAATTTACCATTTTTTCCCTGAAGTTGCTAAAACAATGGTATCATCTCCACTGGTTAATGGCGTCCCTTCCAGCGGCGCACTGCAGCTTTGGAAATCAGTTCCGTTCACTTTGTACACATTGTGTGCTCCTGCTGGATACTTGAAAACTGCATATATCAATCAAATCTCTCACATTAGGATAATGATCAAATAAACTAGACCTTACCATTAGTAAACAGATCGAGGATGGAGCTTACCAAGTCTGTCTCCTACATGAAACTCCTTGCCATTAGCCCAAGCTTGGTAATCAAACCCGACTGTCCACCCGGATTGATCTCCAACGATGAAGTCCTTTGCAGAAGTGATCATCGGTCCAAATGTGGCAACAACCAAAAGTAAAATAAATACATGACTCAAACCCATATCGAGTGTCGCTATAAACTTTATTTTCTAGCACAACAATGAGAGCTCCCTCAGTTGTAATTAAATTACTGGAGTTTGATGTGTTCTGTGACTGCCCAGGTCCAAATATATATATATATGTAGTGTTGCTAGCGTTTGGTTTTTGTGAACCAACGGCCAAGGACGGCACAGCCATTAGCCGCCCAAGGAGAATAGGACTGACATGGATGAGTTATCTAGCTAGAGAACAGTTTATGTAGAACGATTGGAGATGATTACAACATGGTTTAGCTTCTAAACAAGATTTAACCTGTTCTGAGGTTCGGCCTTTTTTTCCCACATAGTTTTCTACTATCTTGCATGTTATATTATATGATTTTGGTTATGTTTTATAAAAGTAGAAAATTAGAAGATATATCAGATTAATGTAAGATTGTGGACGTGTATACACTACAACAAAAAGGGCCTTTAGCTATGAATTTTTTCGTTGCTAAAAACCTAGAAATAGTTCCTGTATACATTTAGCGACGGAAGAAAATCTTCACCACGATCGTCACGGTAGGCATGTCACTCTTTATTTTAGGCGACGATTTGTTAAAATTTGTCGTTAAATCTGGCGACAAACCAAAAAATTGTTGCCTATACCATTTTCATCGCTAAAACTATTTATTGATGAAATATTAGTTGTTGTCACCTAAACTGAATAGCGATGTACTCTCTATTGTGTCGCCTACACTATACTGCGATGAGATGTGTGTTTGTGTCACCTAATTTATACCGCGACAAAATGTGAATTTTGCTCGCCTATGATATACCGTGACGAAATGTGCATTTTTGTTGCATAAAGTTAATAGCAACGTCATAATTGTGTGTATCGCTCAAAACTCCTATCGTTAACATAAATAAAATAAAATTTAGGGCAAATTTTAAGGATAATGTTATATATCAGATTAATTAGAGTAATAATATACTTACAATATAATCTCATAAATTTTCTCTCATATCCTCAATAATTAGTTTATGATAAATTTTCTTGTCTGGCCAATTGCGAACTAACCAATTGCAAGCTATCACGTCAGAGTTGTAAGAGAGAGTTTGTGAAATTGGGCTGTAAGTCAATCTTTATTGGATTGATTACATAAATACTACGTTTACAACTCAATCTTACAACTAACAGAGTTGGCACTATCACATCAATTAACGACTTTGATTAAACATGAACGATTGTTCCTTAGAGATGAATAGTCGTTCCTTAGAGATGAATGGTCATTCCTTAGTGACAAACGATCGTTCATTCATAGGGAATCGTTGTTCCACTCATAACGAATGGTTATTCCTAGGGCCGTAAACAAGCCGAGTCGAGTCAAGTATCACTCTAAACGAGCCTGACTTGGTTAAGTATTAAACGAGTTCGAGTCGAGTCACGAGTCAGTCGAGTCAGGAAAACTCGACTCGTTTATAATCGAGTCAGCTCGTGACTCGACTTGAACTCGTTTGACTCGACTCGAAAAACTTGATTAACTCGAGCTCGAACTGGCTCGATTATGGCTCGATTACGACTCGTTTGCCCCATTTTTTATGTAACCCACAGATCTTATTTTATACAAATCGGATCTAATTTTTGATATATTTGTATCCAAATCAACATAAATCACATCAAAATCAACACATCAACAATGTATTACACAACAAATTATAAAATCTTAAAACTTTAATTAAGGTTTGGGTTAATTTGCAATATTTCAAAACTTTTATATGTCAAATTACAAGACAGACCTAAAACCTTTTTTTTTTTTTTTTTTGGCAGAAAAACCCTAAACAAGCCACTATTGACTCGCAAGCCGAATCGAGCCGAGCCAGGGTAGACTCGAACTCGGCTCGATACCTAATTAGAGCCTTATTTGAGCCGGCTCGGCTCGTTTATAAATGAGCCGAGTTCAAGTATTTAACGAGCCGAGCCGAGCCGACTCACGAGTAGCTCAGCTCGGTTGACACCCCTAGTTGTTCCATTCATAAGGAACATTAATTCCTTATGAAAGAATGATTGTTCCTCTCTTGTCAAGAATGATTGTTCCTCTCTTGTCAAAGTCATTTAGTGTCTTGGGTGTGGAAAGAGCTGACATGATCGTTGTCAACTCAACTATCACGTTTGGGTTATAAGAGAAAATTATGAGATTGGGTTATGAATATAGTATTACTCTTAAATTAAGTACGTACATATAACAATTTATTAAGACCCTGTCAACATGTTTCATACCATTTAGAAATATTAATTTACTTGTATTTTGTCTAGGTGCCGGAACAAGTTCAGATATAATTAATGAACTTGATGAAGAAATGAAATTGAAATTGAAGATTTTGGCTTTTTCCGTTGAGCCAATTAAAGAAATGAAAACATCAAACTCCATTGATGAGTGCAAGGATCACATTCTCTGGTTGTAATAGCCTGCCCTTCCATTGTTCTTCTGCAAGCACTCATCTTCTTCCACCCAAGAATTTTCACAATTATATCATACAATTTTGTCTTAGATTTTTAAAAAATAAGTTACATTTCTATCTGATATTGATTTCTTTCATGATCAATGCATTTATATATCACCTTGTTTCATGTTAGCATTGAACGAATAGAGAGTAATACGAAATCAAAAATAGTAAACACGCACAAACCACAAACAGGAAAGAGAAAAAAGATATACGAGCGATTTAACTTGGTTCACCCAATTAACAGACTACATCCAATAGAGTCAATATTATTACAATATTACCTCATTTCTCTTGTCTAAATGAAAGTAATTTACCTTAAGATTTGATAAAGTGGTCGACAACTCCAACAAGCATGAAGTAATTTTGTTTTGAAACAAGTCTGAACTAGAAACAAAGGATTCACAAAAGCACTAGTACTTATATTACATGGGAAACTTAAGTACACACCAAATACAAGATTAAAACATAACAGTTAAGAGTATTAAGCTAATGATGTTAAAAAGAGATAAACCATCATTTTGATTATGGAGGTCGAATCCAAACCTGCTCCAAAATTGTCCTGCCCCAATTGCACTGGTACATCCGTGGGAGTTGCGATGGCGAGATATACTCATCTTCAAAATAACTTACTGTATTTGCCAATTCTTTGGTCTCCTCCTCCAGTGGAACCATCATGGATGCATCCCCCAAGAACAGTGCTTTATTATCAAACCTCTCAATTGGACACCAGTTCATCTGTGACTGATCGAGCCTGAGAAAACGCCAAAAATCTTGAGAAAGATAAACCGAAAGTAAGAGTTTTCCATCAGACTCAGTTAAGAAGTCACAATTGTATTCACCACATTGATCCTTTATCAAAGGATAAGAGTACGTTTTCCACTCCTTCTGCTCAATGTTGAATGCACCTATTGCTTCTGCAGGAAAAGAAGCATAAAACACTCCATCCATATACTCCACATCCGACACCATTAGATTAGAACAATCAAACCAGAACTCGGTCCACTTCCTGTCTCCAGGTCTACATATTCCTATACAATACTTATCAGTATATGACATCACCAAGAATATCATACAATCTGATGAAGCTGGAGCTGTGGAGAATGTTCCTTTAACGCAAGAGAACGATGACAACTGTCCGAGCTTATGAGAAAAATCTGGTAGGTCAATGAGTTCATCAGTAAAAGGACTATACAAGAACAGAGCAGTTAGCATCCTCCAATAGTTTTTACGAAGATCTTCTGTTGAATTAAAGAAAAGCCCCCAACCATGTTTTGTATCAAGAGGCCTTCCAGTTAAAAGAATTCCTCTTTCTCTTGCACTTAAAATGGTGTATATTCGTCTGGATAAAGGGTTGTAAAGGTAAAAGAGGCACCGATTAAAGGCCATAATCCACGGTATATCAACAGATTTAACATTGTCTGTGTTAACTTTTCGCCAGTTCTTGCATACCAACAGGAAATTCCTCTGATCCAAGTAATAGAGACGATTCATGATTAACCCAAGTATATCAACATGAAGAACAGCCCATGACCGCCTCTTGGTCTCTTTCCCCTTCCACCCGCTCATCATTGCAAGTTAATCTTCCCTTCCCTGAACCAAATTACGGGGAACTATACAAAGTTAGTCCAAAGACCCTCCCACTTAAAGACATACAAACTAAAAAGAATAAAACCCTAAGCAAAATGACTCACCAAAAACACAATTATTTCTTTATATAACCCCACGAAGAGCTGATTATATACATCTCCAAAGATATTTAGCCTTCTATACTTGTTGAAAAGCAAAAACATTCATAAGTAAAGAATAGCAAGAACTTGAAACAGTCTATGATAACTTTAAGACTATTTCATAAGCTGGCCCGGACAATCCAATGAGTAGAACACCAAGTATATATATGCCTCAAAACAACTGAAACTTTAACAACTCACACTTAACACAACGTATCAGAAAGAGTGAACAGAGCCTACATCTACCATTCACATTTCATGTATAATTTTAGTCAAATGAAAGTAATAATAAACGGTTTGAGCTTCAAAAAAAAAATGATAAAATTCGACAAAGAAATAAAGAAGTTGGATAATGTTACCCCTAGCCGGTGAGGGTTACAGCTCCGGTGCTGGTAACCGTAGGAGATAGTTTAAGGGAACTTCAGGTGATTGCTTGTTGAAGAGAGCTGTCAAGTGAAGCGTGAAGTGAAGCTAAATAGTGGCAAATCTTTGAGAGAATATGTATATTTCGTCCTTGTAGTTTCTCCTGCCTCATAAGGACATTTATTTTGAATTACTACATTTTAGTCCCCACACTTTAAAAACAGGTGTTAAAAGACAATAATTTCCTTAAAGCATATAATTTTTTTTTTTTTTTATAACCGAAGTATCCGGGCTAGTTTGCGTGCACCTTAACTAATCTTTGGGGTCCATTGAACACCCTACAAATCCAAAATACTAGGTAAGTTACAATATGATAAGTGACCATAAGGTTCGAACCCAGGAATTTAATGAAGAGAGCAAACCTCCTTGACAGCTAGCCAACCCCTTGGGTTGAAGTACATTGTCTTTTGACACCTACTTTGAGTTTTTGCTAAGGGTGTGGATTAAACTATAATATTTGAAAAGACTGTCCTTGGCTAGCAAGCGGGGGAAACCATGGGGACCAAAAATATCTCCCGCAAATCTCCTGCCAAGGTCAATAATGTATGCAAGAGATTTAGCTTATAAGTCGACAACTCGACGCGTGTTTTACTTACTGTTGGAACGACATAATGGAGGTAAATGACGTCATTATCCTCCCTTTTTTTAATTTAACGGTTATAGGACACTCACCAACTCTTCTCACTAATTTTCTTTATAAACACGACGTGTCAGCTCATAATGAGTTCTATTACCCAACAATAAGTCTCGCTTAACTAATTGCGAACTGCCACGTTAATGTTTGAAAGAGAAAATTGTGAGAAATGTTTGATAACCTATCTTTATTCTAAATTTAAATAAGGAAAATGTTACACCCACAACTTCTTTTCACATACTTTTGCTCACAATCCGACGTGGCAGCTCGCAATTGGTTAGCTCGTAATGAGTATCATCTAGATCTCACCTGATAAATTATGATTAACCAATTATGAACTGTCACGTCAAGGTTGTGAAAGAAAGTTTGTGAGAATAGACTGTGCGTATAGCATTACTCGTTAAATAATAAAATGATAACTTTATTACCTTTGTGAGTAACACTATACTTATAACTTAATTTTATAAATTTTCTCTCACAATTTTAATATGATAGTTTATAATTAATCAACTCGTAAATAGGTTTTACCAACTTGTTATTGTTCTATTTACCCAATTAAAAACTAACCGATCGTAAATTGTCAGGATTTCGTAAGAAAAAATTCGTAAAATTATGTTGTAAGGCAATTTTTTTCAATTAAATATATATATGAAAAAGTAAAAGTTAAGAACACGTGTCACTATAAGGTCCAAAGGAATGGTTAAGAACACGTGTCACTATAAGGTCCAAAGGAATGGTTAAGAACACGTGTCACTACAAGGTCCAAAGGAATGGTTAAGAGCACGTGTCACTATAAGGTCCAGCAAGATCCAAAGGAATGGTTAAACGGTGAAAGCAAGTTATATCTCCAAGTTTCCCACCACAAAAATTAAAAGATTAAAGAATAATATAAAAATTCATTAATTTAACCTAAAAAAAGTATACACAAGCCTCTCAACGTTATTGCCATATATCGCACGTTAGATTAAGTGAATTTGGGTGAATAGAAAAATATTAATTTCCTTCAAACTTAAAAAGTATGACCTAACGATCCGTCAATAACGAGGGTTAGGGTCGTATTTCTAAAACCAAAACCAGTTGGTGGTCACTACAGAAAAGGCCAAACATACATGGTCAGGTTGCATTTTTGTGATTAATAGGTGCTCAATACAGAAAATGCCAAAAAAAACAAGATTTATTTATATTTATATTTTTGTTGCTGGCTTGGTAAAATTGTGATGAAAAGCAATAATGCAGGAGTATTTCCGGATCAGGAATAAATTTATTTATTTTTTCTTATGACTTAGACATATTAACTACCTTTATTGATTTTTTTTTTTTTTTCAGGTTAGCTTGCACACATTTCGATTAATCATTCGAGGTCTTAAAGTTAATGACCGAGTATACCCTCAAACAGTCATTCTGTTAGTAACCAAGTGATTTAAATTCATAACATCTTGAATAATACACTCAATAGTCTTTCATTGATTTTGGTTCCTTTTACTTTTTTATTTTATTTTAATTATTATAAGAATAAAGAAGATTCTTATTTTAGAAAGATATTAATATTTTTATTTTTATTTTCCTAATGTACATTTAAACTCAATAAATATATTCTTCTTATATATATATATATATATATAGGTGTAACTCATTTACTGTTTTTATATCAAATTAAAATACAATTTTCAATTATCATAAAGTCACATTAATTAATATATTTAACTGGGCTCTAAATTATATTGTAGATCAAAGTATCTAACACTAACTCTATATACGTCAATAGAATACTAGGAAAATAAGGTGATGAATCGGAAACAGGATTATCATTCTCTTTATTTAGTTTTCTAATTCAATAGCAACTCTTCCTATTAATTAATCCTTTTAAAAACAGGATTCTTCATAAATGCAATATATATATATAGTTAAATATAATAACATTGAATTGTTCTTCTTTCAATAAACTCTCCTCCTTCACATCCAATATGAGCCATGATAGTGCTGTCAAGTCATGGTCCGATCTTCCAGTTGATATACAAAGCGTGATAATGGAGCATCTATATTTCGATGATCAAATCCGTTTTCGAACTGTCTGCAAAAGTTGGCGGTGGAATACTTATGCTATTAAATCTGCAGATCAATTGCCTTGGATATTTGCTTACAAGTACAAACAAGATGACAGTGGCTTTTGTTATCTCTACAACCCTTCTAACAAAAAGAAGTATGAGATTAAAAAGAAGTTACCATTTGGATCAAGGTTTCATGATTCAAAATATGGTTGGATTCTTATATCCAAACCAGAAGAGAATGTTTCTTTTCACCTTGCTTGTAATTTACTCTACTTCTATAATCCTTTTACTGATGAAACAATAAAACTCTCGGTATTGGAAGATCCTCACATTGAACAACATCCTCTATACATTGATAGTTCTCAGGTAATATTCTCAGGCAATCCAACTTCCAACGAGTGTGTGATATTTCTTCATGTTGCGAATGGTTGGGGATTGATAAGGAAAATAATCTACACATGTAGGCCTGGAGATACAAGATGGACTAGTCATTATTGTTTAGAAGATTTTGGACGAGATATTCTTAGTTTGGCTTGTGTGGATGGAGTCCTATATTGTGCTACTGTTAGTCGTGACGGTATATCTGAAGATAAAAATTTTTCTTTATGTTCCTTTCAAATTATAGTAAAAGAGCAGAAAATCATTCTTGATCCAGTTGATGTTCTCTCTTTTGCAATTCCCCCATGGAAAATGCTCTACCATTGTAGACTAATTGAGTCAGATGGGAATGTTTTATTAACGTATAATTATGAATATGATGAAAGTTGTGTTGTTTTTAGGGTTGATTTTTCAGAGAAGAAGTTGGTTGAAATTGAAAATTTGGAGAAGAAAATGTTGTTTAGAGGTTTGGAAAAATGGATATTAGCTTCGGCGGTGGGGGCTGCAAGTGAATTAGCCAATACTGTACATCGTAATTGCTTCATGGAGTTTGACTCTTGTTTTTATAAGGCACCAGAAACTCACTTGTGTCCACAACCTTACGGCTGGATCAAGGAAGCATATACATCAGTTTATCAGAGTATTTGGATTCAACCTCCGCTACATTTTACAAGGTATCAGAAAATCACTCCTTCTGTCCACAGCTTTATGATCGGATCTATCCGAGTTCCAATAAGGATTCAACTTCCTCCACAAAGTCAGTGATTTTATTTTTTATTTTTTTTATTTTGATACTTTGAGAAGGTTGTTATTTTGAAAAAGGGATTATATGATATTCATTAGAACTTTAATAATATTCTTCATATATTTTTTTCATAAATTTGGCAACCCTATATTACAAGAAGTCGTTAATGAATTTAATAATATATCATTATTTTATATTAGCATTAGGGAAAGCTTTTATTTTTATTTAAAAAAAAAAAACTTTAAAGGCAAGAATTAAGAAAAGAATATGCTTTTTTAAAATATAGATATAAAACTATTTAGGTTTTCTATTAAGATTATTATCCTTCTAATATGAAGTTGAATGCATATTGATATAAATTAATTAGACGTCCTTTAGTTGTGCTCCCTTCGCTGCTGAAGCCAAGACCACCGTGCAGGTTCTGCCATACTTCTTTTTTCTTAGTTGCAGAGTTTTCCCAACGCCATCCATAAATCTCAAGTGAAAAAAACATTTATAAAAATCATGGTCATGGTTTCAGTTTTTGTGAGTAGAGACTCAATGAGGATTGCAGGCAAAACTAGTAAAAAAAAAATTCCTCCAAGTAAAGAATTATAATCCCTAATTTTGCAATAGAGATTTGAAGTTTTTTACAGCAAAACAATGACAAGAAACGTTCCCTATTTCTGGTTTCCTAGTTAAGTTGATCCTTAATATCCCCTTACAGAAATACTAAGTTACAGCAAGATCATGCACTCAAGATATTTCTCATTCGCACTCCTCTGACAAACAGTATCCAGACATAACTATTTTATCAGTTTTTGGTAATTGTCAATTACGTGCAGTTTCATACCCAACATCTCTTATTATTTTCTTTTAAATAATAAATCTTGTGTATTTATCCTTTTTTAATAATAAAAATCAACTATTTAAAAAAATACGACCCTAACCCTAGTGTATTAGCCTTTTTAGTAATTGGCATTTGCCGGTTTCGAAAATGCCATTAATTCATCCTTTTAAGTTTATTAACAATTTTATTAATGTGACCTCCAAAAGATATACTAACCTCTCAACATTATTCATATATTTTGGATATTGGATTAATTAAATAATCTAACCATTTGGAAAATATCAAACGCACAAGGTAACCACTAAGTGCTTAGTACGGAATAGACAAAACACCCAGGGTCAAGGGCACAATTGTGTAACCAACAGTGCTCACAGAAAAATGTCAAACACATTGGATTTACATAAATAACCCTACTTGTAAAATACCTCAAATTCTTGTTGCTGGACATGGAGGAAAAGCCCAATAAAGAGAGCCCAAAGACTCAGAAAAAGGAGTCCAAAATAAAAAGCCCAAACCCGGTAAACTCCATACCCTGTAGGTTTGTTAACAAACTGTTGACCCGTTTTGCATGGTAAGTTTTCTATTTTCGGACCATTTATTAAATACTTCTTAAAGTAAACAAAATTTAGTAATAATATTAAAAAAATAACTCATATTAAAAAAAAAAAAATCCTAATTTTGTAGGACATCATTCGTTCAATTTAGTTTTCTAATTTAAATAAGGACTCTATAGTTGCAAACCCTTATTCTTTTTCTTTTTCTAAATGCATGTTTTATATAAAATTTAAAATTGGTTTTTTTTTTTTTTTTTAAACAAAAGATACAAGGAATGAGTTGAATTTTTTTCAAAAACGGTTTTTNAAAAAGTTGAAATAATTAATTAACTGCTAAAAGATTATAAAAAAACAATATATACATTTCCTACGGGGTTTAATTAACATGTTTACATGTCAGAGATGAGCATATTCAATTTTCTCAACGTCTAATCATAGGAAACCTCTTATGTATCAACCTACCACTAAAAACACCTTGGAAGAGCACTTTTAATCAGCAAATAACTATTAAAGCCTCTACATGAAAAGAGATAAAGAAAACTTGGACAATCAACCTGTTTGGTGTTCCATGTAAACAGAGATTGCAAATCGGCGGTTATATTCAATGTCAGGCTGACCTGCATACAAGAAAAAATTTACTTAAGAGTAAATTTGGAATCAAGAGCTAGAAGATAAATGACATAATAATGTGTGCTTACAACACAACACATCCATGGAAGAAGAGCTATGAATGTATTAAATCAGGCTTGTCCCTTTCAATCCATTATTCCTATAATGTGAATTATGGAAACCATAAAAAGAACTCTGGTTCACTTAGAAAATAATGACCATTATCATACTCCAAAGTTCGATTTTCTTCTTTCAGATGGCGAGGGAAGCCCCCTCATCATATCCTCCGGAACTCCTAAATCAACTGCCTAATGTTTTTAGCTGGGGTAGTAATGACCCCACAACACGCATACCATTTCAGCATTGCACAATGACTGGGAATCGAACCCGTACCAAGGCGAGTCTAGGTTTACAATCTCCTCTAGCAATATACTTATTACTATCCCTACCGAAAAAGGCGTCATCAACAATGAAATTCCAAATGACCCAGCTGCGAACTAAATGATCAACTTACTGTAACAAGAGCACTCACTATCACCAAAGCCGCACCTTATCATGTATTAAACTAAACTCTCACACATTAAACTAGTATAAACAAAATAATGATGTACAATTATCAATATTCCTATCATCAATTAAAGCTTCTACTTATCAAACTAATTACTTAATCATACACATAATTTAGATTCAAAGCCCATAAATCTAACAAAGCTTCTACAAATTACAAAAACAATCAATACTAAAAATCAAAAAAATTTAAAAATTACCTCATCGTTTCCATGCGTCTGCTTTTGAAACCAATTAATATTCACTACCTACAATCACAAAAAACACAAACCCATAAAACAAAAATCACTCAAAATCACAAAAGCCCAACTGGGTTCTCTTAATTCAAACACGAATCAAAGACGGATCCAAAAAAAAAAATTCAACGAATCAGATAAAAGACACTCGTAAGTTGACCTGGATTTCAGCAGTCGGAGAGGGAGTGTTAAGGTTGTCAGATAGAGAAGCGATGGCGCACATTAAGGCGACAATGGTTACGGCGAACGTTAACAGAGCGTTGGCTCTGTACCCAAATGAATGCATTTTTTTGGTATTGCCGTTTATGCTGCAGCTCGTTTTATTGTTTTCGTTTTTGTTTTTTTTTATTTTAATTTTAATTTTGTTTTTCGTTTTTGTTTGTGGGTTTTAATATACTGTTGAACTGTAACCAGGGTTCTGTTAATAGAGCAATTTGATTGGATGATACGCGTGCTTAAGGATTAAGATCATTTGGTGAGTCCATCTGCTGACGTGGATATTTTTAGGTTTTGATTTTTGAATATGATTTTTCTTTTTCTTTTTCTTTCATTTTTATTTTTTATTTTTTGTTTTGGAAAATGTGTCTAAGACGAAGAAAAACAACTCTTTATTTTCCATAAACATCTCAATAATTTAACTATTAATTCTTTATTATAAATTTTTAAATAATATTAAAAAAATTATACAAAACCTCTTATAATATTTATATAAAAGATCTATATATATATAGATATCAAGTTTGATCACCTTTACAACAAGAGTGTGTATATTACAAACATTTTACTAATGTATACGATCTTGAATCTCATCAGTATCAGTACAAACCAAGAAATTAGGTTGAGCTTGTTAGGGATTACTAAGGTGTATCCATTAAGTCATGAGGAGATCCACACAAAGTGTATTTAAGGTATTGCATTTAAAGGATCACGATGAATGGGGCAAATATTAAGGGTTAAAATTTATAATTTAAAGGAATGGAATATTTTAAAATATATAATAAAAATTGGTGACTATGGCCACCCAAGGCCCAAGCCGCAATCCAGTGTCCACCATTACAAATGTTTGACAGTTTGAGTTTACAAAATTCCCACCCAAGCTGTGGGCAACATCTCAAGATTGTATGTCTTGATTGTATTTATTCTAGATTCTTACTCTTAAATAACATGTTGGAGATTTTTAGGTTACAGAGAGTTGCTATTACATTATTGTATTTATTCTAGATTCTAATCTTAAATAACATTGTTGGCGATTTTTAGGTTACAGAGAGTGTTATACCATAATATCCTTGACAAATAAATTATAAATTACTTTTAAATCCTAAATTAGTAAAATTATACAAATTAACCAATTACTATAAAATTTATTTCAATAATGCCGTCAGCGACTGCGCACCTTTGGTTTTTGCCTTATTTGGCTGTTTCCAACAAAGTGAACCCCTCCGTCACCTCCATCATCTTCCCCATTGCCCGTACTCCAAAACCTTCTATTTGCCCAACTCCTTGACCTTCTGATCACTAACGCCATGTAGGTTTAGGGTTTCACTATTCTTCACCAGATCCCGACAGCCAAAATCCAATTGGACACCACCACTGTAACTATGTCTCCAACTCTACAAACCTCTCTATCCCCAACAACCAGTTAGTTGTCATTCGTTGGTCGAGAGGTTCTGTCATCGCGTTTTTTGGTGAAGTGGTGGGCGGCAAACATGAGCTGCAGTGGCTAGGAAGGTTAGGAGTTAGGTAAGGGGGACAAGGAGTCAATGGTGGTAGTAATTGGGGTTGTCACTGCTCAAAACAGTCGAAAATAGACAATAAATAGTTGCATGCATGCCTATCATGGCCGCAATTGACGAGTTTTTTTTTCTGGGGGGGTGTTTGTGGGGATAAGGTTAAGGTTTTGTAGAGAGGAGCATGAGGGTTCAAAGTGGTTGCACAGAGGTATTTGGGTGGAAGAATCACTAGAAAAGAGTGAAAAATGCGGCTGGGGCAACGCCTACTAACGTGTGCTGCGTTCTGATTAAAATGCATCGGAGCATTGTTAGAGACGACGACACTAACCGTGCTCCAACTCCTAAAAACGACTACTTTACCATTTGATCGTTACACTAAATTTTCGTTACTTCAAGGTATGAGAATATATAATAAATGTAATATGGGATACCAACTTAGATTTTGCCAAACTTCGGATGGGAACATACCGTTGCTCCATTTATAGTATGATCTATCAAATCTTGATAATGATCAGAAAGTCTTTTCACTTTATCAAGAAACTAAAAGATGGGGTCGTCAAACTCAAATATTAAAATCAAGATGGATGATAAAATTAAATTTCCAATAATGACGATGTGATTTAAGACCTTTATATTTTTTTTTTTTAAACAGTATCCAAACCAGTTTACATGTACTCAATTACTCAGCATAACAACCCACCACCCCTTCCACTGTTAAATTTGCTGCTCAGATGACTTCTACACTTCACTTACTCTATACTGTAGGTTGATGTACTTCGTCCCACAAAATCACAAATTTCTTTAAATTTTATGTATATAAACAATTTCATTCCTTAAACCCCGATTCTGTTTTGTATGCTTCCATATCCGTTAAACTGTCACATCTTGACCTTCTTAATTAAATGTAATTTCTTGAGTAGTAATCAAGTATCAAACATACAAACCAAGTGTTTTCTTCCAGTATTTTGACATGGTAAGTATAGACTTACATGATTTACATTAACAGAAAAAACTTCACACAACTCATCTATGGAGTTGCACTAGTTGTAGTGAAGTTGAAGTTGCCACAATAGTCCCCGAGACAGCAGCGAGATCTAAACCCAAGCCTCGACTTAGCCGATCAACTGCACAAGATTGTCCTGCCACGTGACCCCAATACAATTGAAGCCACTCGGTCCGAAACCTCCATCCAAAATGCTAAACATGGTACCCCGGGTCGTACCTCCACCATCGAGTTTGTTCCACGATTCTCCACTCACGCTTTTGTCTGACAGCACTAGGTCTATGTTCGGCACCTGGGGTCCAATCTTTGTGTAGCTTAGTTTCCTTAGTGTCATAACACTCTCCAAATGGCCGCCACAGGAGTTTTTCATCTGTGGTATCACGGAGCTGGCTGGTGAAGAACTAATAGTTACAAGATTTGATAGATTGAGTGTTCAGAACTGTAAAAGGCTTCGCTGGTACTGAGCTTTTGTGCGCCTGTTCCGGCGTGAGGACTGTAAAGTTATCAAGGATGTGTCAAGGGGACAAGTCTTGTTGTTTATTTCTATTGATGTTACGGGTGTGTAGTGTCCCCTCTGGCTTATTGTTAAAGGGGTGTAGCTTAATGAACGTGAAACATCGATATTGGATGCATATAATAAGGCCCTCTCCAAGAACATGACACCGTTTGTCGATGATTTTTAAGGAAGACACAAGGCGAATTTTGTGGGAAGCCGAAGTTGAGGCAAGTTGAGTCGGTAGAGAGATTGGCGCATGGCTAGTCCTGCAACTCCTTGGACATTTTTCGGTAAACCTTCCGCAGAAGTTTGGAAGGTGCACAAGCAAAGAGGAACTGAGGATAGAAACCAAAGGCCGGGTTTGGACCTTTTAAGATTGAATGAGGGCACATCTTGAGCAAGCTCGCCCATGGCTGTGCGTGTGATGGGGTTCCTAGCCATGACCCCCACATGTGTGTTGTGGCATCCGGGTCTGGCTGCGGAAGCGAAGTGTGCAGTAAGAGGTTTGGGCTCTGGCGCATTGAGTGGAGTGGCAAAGAGGGGCGTGGTAGGTTGAAGATAAGTAGTCGTGCTTCAACTAACCCCAGGAATGTGGCCATTTAAGGTGCACAACAAGGGTAGTTGTAGTAGAGGAGTTCTCTTGTGGATGCTGGTCACAAAAGATGTTGAGCTATCTTTTTGCAGCGTAGAACAAGGTTGTTGGCTCAAAAATTGTTCGGGATTGCGCTGTGAGATGAACCAAAGATATCAAAAGAAGGAAGTGAGGAAAACAAGAGAGACGTCATTTCCAGAACCAGGAAAGCTTGGATAGAGGAATAGTTTAGACACAACATGCTAATATCTAAGTTGTTGTCATGTACCCAATTTAATTTGACTTAAATAACAGATGATGGGACTTTTTTTTGGATGAGGGTTTCTAGTATCAAAATATGGACGTTTTGGTGTGCTCATTGGTTCATCAGAGAGCTTGAGACATATTGAGTTGGGTTAAGGAAGTTCACATGGACAAATTTGGCTGAGGCAGGCAGAAGATGAGCATCGTAACAAGAGAACAATACATGAGTTGGCGAGGCTGGAGACACTTGGCAATAGAAGAGCCCTAACTAGACAAAGGGTCATCAAGAACTGGACCTTAAATGGGCTGGCCTGGGCCCTTAAAGGGGGCTTGGAACCCCAAATGGCACAGCCCACTTGAAGAGGCCAGATCCTCAGATTGTGGTCAGATTCAGATGCGGAAAGTGGAACCAATCACTTTGAAAATATCAGAAAGCATGAGGCTCCTGATGATCTGGTTTAAAGTGAACAAATAATTGGGAGACTCAAAATTGAGATACCATATAAATCTCTTCTTTGAGAAAGCACTTTATACACCCATTTGTGTTATTCATACTAAGATTTTATGGACTTCCAAAGTAATCCCCAAAAATTATTGACCATAACAACATATAATTGGTAAAAGCTTATTAAATCATTTTAATAACAACAGAGATAAACTGATGTGTCACAATATATATTATTTAAAATCCCACACTTAACCAAATTTCGCATATCATGAAAAGAACGATGGTTTATGTGATTAAATTAGTTAAACCAGGTGTGGTAAGTGAAGTATAGTGTGCTTTCTGTCTGAACTACTGGTTGAGCTTGTGTGTTATGGTTCTGCCATGATCAAGGATCACTGGTGCTCTCATACTATAAAAGTAGAAAAATCTCAGTGAACTTCGATCATAAATTATCAGATGCAGAAAGCTAGAAGAAAAAGCAAGCGATAACAGAAAAACTTCACTCAACATATATATATCACAAAAAACATCATGCACAGAGGGCAGCTACTTATGCTCAACTAGGGACAAGAAAAACTGTAGAACAGAGAAAATAACTAAAAAAGATAAAAAGAATCCCTTATGTTTCGCACAACCATTAGTAGAGAGAGAGGAGGTAGAAACTAGAGGTTTGGTCATCCTGCATATGACAACTACTCTTACATTAGGTAGTATTTATCTTCATCTCATCTTCATCTCCATGATTGATTTAAATTTGCTGGTTTTGTTATAGCAAATGATTGAACTATCACATCAAGAATATATATGTTATAGCAATCTGGTTTTG